GCTAAAAGCTTCATATATATATATTATTTCCCCGATGTCTCCTAACCATCTGACAAATTAGGAATTATAATTCCTGAATTCTAAGTACATTAGGAATCGGAGAGAATTTGTATATTCTGCCCTTGTCACTGATGCAGATCTTTCTGGTCCCACAAAACATGCTATTGTTTTCATCCCAGAGAAAATGTTTCTGAACAAGAGGACTTTGTGGCCAAGTGCTCCTCATCTAAACCAAAACAAGGACACACACTCTGACAATGCTGTGTCTGCCACTTGAGATCTGAAGACCATGGTCACCATGTCCCACTGCATGGCTCTGCTGACCCTGTCTGTCTACCCTTTGTGAATGGGAGGAGACACTTCCTGTAAATGATTACTTCTAAAATATTAACTGATGGTTCCTTTAAGAATTTGATGAAAGCCATAGAATCTACCAGAATGGTACACAAGCACATAGAATTTATATACAATGCCAGGGTGTTGGCAGGCACTGCACCCCTTACTTCTACCCATAGCCATATCTAAACCCCAAGTGTGGAATCCCTGGTTTACAGAGAAAACAGTGTGTTCTCCTTATACCTTATTACAAGTAAGTGTTTGAGAACACTATGCCAGTATTATTTAAGTGCATGTTTCAAATGATGAGTGTAAGTCTTGAGTTATTTGAAGACACAGAGCCTAAAATGAAGAACTAGGGACTAGCAGGAGCAGCTGAGAAGGGCCTTCTGAGAAAACGAATGTCATGATCTTCCCTTCCAGTCGTGCACATTAAGCTTTGGTCTATACAGAGCAGAGACCGACAGTGTCAAAGCTTGCCAGAGACTGAGGGTCTCAAGGCTGACAGTCTAAGGCTTGTCTCTCCTGTCTCAGGTTGCTCTTCCTGCTAAACTCACAAAGGTCCCTGTGCCTGGCAGATGAACTGCTGAAACAAAGCTGCCTACCTCCCTATGTTTTAAGGATGAACTGTAGAAACAGCTTTACCTCCACTTTCCTGCCTTCTGCTACCCTTTGCTACCTTTTGCTGCTTCTGTAAAATTCTGCTTGCTCCTGGCTAAAGAACAGGTAAATGTGAAAACAAACTTAAAGATGGGGCTCAGACTCAGACTTCCACTGGGCCTGCTAGCTAATGAATAAACTTGCCTTTCCCTCCAATTCGCTGAGTGCCGCTCTCTTCCCTTGTCTGCCTGCCCTTGAGTGCCCCTTTAAAAGCTGCTGTATTTCTAGATCAGCTTTCATGGTGATCACAGAGAACATTGCTACTGTGCTTCAGCTTCCTCTTTCGAAGCACTGCGCCTCAGTCTGTTCCATTTAGAAGATGTACCTCCTTTTCAAACACTAACTCATTTTCCCAGTAAACTTCTTTCTCTTGTGATTGAGGAGAGAGCAAAAGGAAAGAAAGAAAGAGAAAGAAATAAAAAGAAAGCAAGCAAGCAAATCTGTGTCACTGGGAGATCTTTTGAGGCTGAACAGTGACATCTCTTGGTGGAGAGATGGCAGAGGCGTCTTATCAAGCCTGTTTTAATTGGGATAGGAGAAACTGAGCATTCCTGGCTTCAGAACGGCTATGAACCCCCTAAAGTTGCTAGCAAAGAATTGCAATTGCAAAATGTACATTTTTTTTCTGAGAAAATATTTCATAAAGTTCTCCTGAAAGATTAAGGTTTACTGGGCCAGGCCTGTGTTTTCTCAGAGTGTTTGAGTTCGAAGATGACCTGCAGCAGAACCAGAGAAGCTTCAAAATTCAGGTTCCTGGGCCACACAAGAAATCTTCTGAGGGGTGTGGCGTGGGACTCTGGATATTTTACAACTTCCACTGGTGGTTTGGTTAGATTCCTCAAGTAGCTTGAAAGTCCCAAATGTGTTACATTATATATTAGAATAAAAACAATTATTGTGTAAGGAGGTACTTACATTTACCCCAATAGTCCTGGGTTAAAATCCTACCTCAGCTGTTTTTTCACTGATTCTTAATTACCTCAACTGTAAGCATGGGACTAATTTAATTATCTGTCCTGAGATAATATTACCTGAAAGAGCAGGAATCCAAGAAATATTTGTTTTTGTAGCTTCTCTTAGACACTGAATATTCCCTCAAACTCTCCAGGTCCAATATTTACTTTTTAAAATACTTTATGAGGCTTTTTTATCCAAAAAAGAAAGAACAACCCAACAAAATATTATTTCAGTGACTCACAAGCTAAGTGTGAAGGGTTTCTTTGTTTGTTTTGTGGTACAAGGGATTGAGTCCAAGGCCTTTGTACTGGACTAAGTCCCCCCTGCCCCCTTTTAGTTTTTGTATTTTGGGATAGGATCTCACTAAGTTGTCCCAAACTAGTGATCTTCCTGCCTCAGCTTTCCTGATGGGATTACATGTCTGTGGTACCACGCCTGGGTTTAAAGAGGTTTTGCTATGCCATCAAACACATCTGAACTGTAAACTATAAGCTGAAATTCTGTCTCAACCTAACAAACACTATAGTATTGGTGTTCTGCAACTCTCTTTATGGACTCATAGCAGTATTTACCAATAAACTAATGAGAACAAAGTCTTCCGTTACCTTATGTGTGTAGTAATCACGTTATTGAGAGTGCTTGATTACTTAAGAATCAACTCACTGTTATGTCTTCAGAAGCAAACAGCCAAAACAGAGAAGAGAAATTCTTACTGAAAGCCAGTTGTAAAATCTTGCGTTTGGTGTGGGTCACCTCTTCTCTCCCCCATACACACGATAGACTTGTTCGAACGACATCCTCTGTGACTTTATAGCTCTATTCTGCCACAGCTGTATGTTTTCCACCACTTGGAAAAGCATCAACATAAGGGTCATTGGTATAGGCCTTTGAACACTCTGCGCACAACATAAACAGAAAATCTAAAGGAAATTCAGTGTTTAAGTAAAACCAACAAAGTCTCCTACTTATTTATCTTCACATAGACTAACCAGTGTCCATTGGATTACCTAAATAATCTAAGAATGTATCTCTAGTGATTTTTTTGGGAGGCTAGACATTTATTTCAGTCATGGTGGAAGAAGACATATGCAGAGCATAAGAAATTGTGGCTCTGTGAAAAAGCAGTATTCAAAAGGCAGCGTGCAACAGTCTGCTTCCCATAAATTTATCACCTTATTCATATCCGTTTGCCAAAATTTTGACTAGATTAAGCACTGATTTTGTATTCCTTGATTGCCATCTGCTGGTGGTCCTCCATACTAGAAGACAGAAGCTCCCTGCAAGAGTACAGCAATCTTGTTACTGCTTGAAGTCTTGCAAAGCCAGAGAGAATATTTTTCTTTTCTTTTTTTCCCTGCCCTTCCTCTTTCTTTCCTTTCTCTTCCTCTTTTCTTTTTTCTAATACAGGACTTTGTTATGTTACCAAGTTGGCCTCAAACACCTGGACTCAAGCAATCTACCTGCCTCAGCCTCCTGGGTAGCTTCAACTGCATGCCTTGCTAACAATGATATTTTTGACAGCAGGGATGCAAGCGAGTCAAAGACAAAGTCATGAGAGAAGGCTTTAGGTAATGATGGCAGCAATTATAACAGCTAACTTCATTCAACAAATACCTATTGAGCATCTAATATGGCTTTGACAGATGCGAGGGATATTCTGTAGCGTTATACTATAGGATATACTGTAGACAAAATACCTGTCTTCACAGGTTTGATTTGAGTGCAGGAGATAGGCAGCAAGCAAGTAAGTAAGTTGATATGATCAGGTAGTTAAGTGATACCCAGTAAAATAAAGCAGGGCGGGGTAGAAGGAAGTGATGGTGGAGGGAAGGTGCTATTTTAGATACAGAGGCCTGGAAAAGCTTTTAGGAGGTAACGTTTACATGGCCCAAACAAAATGCATTTTGTTCAGTATTTCTCCATGCAGGCCCTGAGCTAACAGCTTCTAAGCAGTTTATACTGTAATCCTCTCAACACCTATAAGGCTGATAATACTATTACCCCAAATTTACTAATGAGCATTTTGAAGCAGAGAGAAATGGCGCTGGTATCCAAACTTGAGTTTTGCCCTTTTCTACCACTTAATAACTTTTCAAAACTCTTTCATGCAAATGGCATAATATATGCAGAAATGTTTTGCTGCTGATAAGGTACTATGCAAATGCAAGTAATTAAAATGATAACTATTTTAATGTAATCTGATTTGACCTTCACGGCATCCCTGTAAGAGAGAGGTAAGGTGTGTGATATTATACCATTCTGTAGACAAAAACACACACCACTGTGAAGTGGCTTGGCCAAGGTTACAAAGGTAGTTGATGGGCTATGCAAAACCACAACTACATATTTTTTTCTTCTATTAGTGCATGTGTGTCATAATAATGCTTACATTCCTTGTGGGAAGTCGGGACAGGTACTTAACACATCGTAATTCGTTTTTCAGGGAGTGTTATTTTAAAGTTTTGTGCTTTTATCTCTTGAGATGATAAATTATACTCAATAGTTTTCTTGCCAAGCTTTTTATAACTTCATTAATCATCACAATTAAAAAGAGTATAATGTTCATAAATAAGTCTGCAGGACTGGGGATTTGGGGGGGGTGGCAGTGGAATGGAGGGTTGAACCCAGGAAGTATGCAACTATATATATAACCAGCCCTTTTTATTTATTTTTCTAAATTTTTATGCAGAGTCTTACTAAGCTGACAAGGCTGACCTTGGACTTGAGATTTTCCTGCCTCGCTTCCTGAGGAGCTCAGACAACAGACATACACACCAGCTTGCCCGATGTAACAAATGGCAGTGTAGCTCAATGACAGTGTTTGCCTAGTCTATTCAAGGTCCCAGGTCCAATCCCCAGCACTACCAAAAAAAAAATTGCGACAACAATTTTATTTGAATTATCCCTTCTTTCTGTGTCTTGGACCTCTTTCACACGATAAGCTTCTTCTTTCTCTTCCCCATCTGGCATCCGTTACCTAACTCTCAAAGACATGCAGTGTGTTAGCTTTCTTGTCACTGTGACAAATATCTGACACTTACAATTTAAAAGAGGAGAAGTTTATCTTGGCTTGCATTTTCAGTGGGTTCAGTCTGTGACCTCTTCCATTCCAGGCAAGCACAGCGTGGTAGAAGAGGCTGGTGGAGGAAACCACGCATGTCAAGGCAGCCAGGAGGCAGAGAGAGAAGGGAGGTGGGTAGGGCCAGGGACAACAATACATCCTTCCAGGTGGGGTAGCAGTGACCTTCCTTTAACCAGGCCCCACCTCCTAACAGCAAGTCAGCTACAACTCCTCTGTGGACTGATGGACTCAGAGGATAGTGCCCCCCAGATCCAATCTCCTTCCCAACATGAGACTTTGGGAGGCATTTTAGATCTAAATCACTGCCTGCAGGGAGTAGAAAGGAACTGTTCAGCTTCACTTTCATCTAGTTAACACGTGGGACAGGACATTTGTCCTCCTAACAGAAGGAAACCAGACCATTAGCTATGAAGGTAGTCTAGGAAAAATAAGAATTTCTTGAGGCTACCAGATAGGGTTTGAAAATCATTCTTTGAGGGATTAATGTTTCTAGATGCTCTATGTCAGAGGTAACTACCAACATTCTTATATATAAGGCCCATTAAGACCATCCCTCATCCAGGGGTCCAGGGCCTTGCTCCTCCTTGGCTACTGAGAGCCAATATGAGACTATAAAATTTCAAAAAACCCCATGGGGAGATAGGGGAGATTTGGCATGAATGTGCTCTGGTGACAAGTTTACTTGCCCTAACTACCCCTCCTAGCCCTCCTCCCACCTCACCAACTCCCATCCCCAATAAACTCTCATGCTACACCTTTTTTCTTGAACCTTTGAGTAAATTAGTGCTTAAATCTTTTGTAGTGATTGAAGATAAGACTGTGTCTGAAAACTAAAAGTACTCTAGCACCTAAGCAGTGGGTAGGAGAATCTCAACGTTAACCAGAAGGGGCTACCTAGGGTAGAGTAGTAGGCTGATTTCTAGAACGTTCTACTCAGGAGACCAGCTAGAAGCATCCTATGAGGAACAGAAAACAGAGAGGCCCAAACCATATTATACAACACAGCAAAATGATCCACCTTTAAAAAGAAAACAACCCAGCAACCAGTCCTTTCTCTGTGGTCCCTCTCCTGTGCCCTCTTCCCACTTTCCTTCCTATTCATTCCCTCCCTGACAGATTAGATCCAATGCTGAGTGCCTCTACTTCTCCATGTCTATCCTTCTTTGAATCCCTTACAAAGGCCTCGCCCCTTCCCAGCTACTCCACTACAACTACTCTCCATAAAGTCTCTCACCAGTGGCATCCATTTTGCCAAAGAGACTCAACCAGCATTTCCCAAGGTACATTTTGGCAGAACACTAGGCCCTAGCTATGCTTATTTTATTTTATTTCTTTTCTTTTGGTACCAGGGATCGAACTCAGGTCCTTGTGCTTGCAAGGCAGGAGGCACAACCACTGAGCTAAATCCCCGGAGCAGTTATGCTTATTTTAAAAGAAGGGGGCAATGGTCAAAAATTTGGGAAACCTCACATCCTATCCTTTCAAGACTTACGTACCTGTTAGCAATTATTAAGGATTCTGTAGTGCATTTCAATGTGCTCTTTTCCTCTGGTTTGGGGCCCCTTCATGCCACACCTCCAGCTGCGGGCTGGGTCATAGCAAATGTTGCTCTGTAGATACGATAGCCTCACAGATCTCTTGCTCCCTTTCTCCTTCCACCCATTTACTGGAGGTCCAGCCTGCCCTCGTCTCTACTTTTGGAGCTCATATTCCGTAGGCACAGACAGCCTGAGTGAAAAAACTTGAAATTAATTTTTTTCCTTCCTTATCCCTATCCATTATATTCTTAATACAAACATACAATTTGTCTATATATCCAGGTAACTTAGTTTGACCTTCCAAGCCCTTTACAAACTGGCTCTGTCATTCCCCTCTGAATCCTGTCACTGAGTGACTTTGCTGGGCTGGAGCTGAGACTCAGATTCTCCCTGGGAGGAGAGCCCGGTGTCCCTTTTGCCTTGCAGCTATTAGCACTCACTGGTTTGCATCAGTAATGAGGGGCCTCTGGGTGAAATGCTTAAGTCTTGTCCACATGTATAGACATATCTGATTGGCTGGGGCTCTAGGTGGAAACCAGGTTTCTGAACTAGCACATTGGTAAGAGGAATTAGATTATAGGGAGCAGGATGGTGAATGAACCCAAAGACACACCTCTGTCTTAGAGTAGGGACACCTGGATTCAAAACTTGCCCCTCCTGCATACTACCTGTGTGATGCTGGGCATATTTCTTCATCTCTCTGTCCTTTTCCTCGTGTGCAAAAATGTTTCACCAAATGTTTGTGCTACTAAAAACATGACAGGATATGGAAATTCCATTTGGTTTGTGTGTTCTGGGGAGAAATTGCCTTTGTGTGCGAGATGAAGTTCTGTCACCCAATGACACTCAAAAATCCTTCTCATGGACTTTTCCATTGGCTCTTCTATCCCTATGTCAACTTCAAGGAACACCCTACTATCATCACTAAATTCTAGATGAACAACCTGAATAATGCTCAGGTATATTATTTTTGCAAGATCAGGGGCATGGATTTCAACAATCACGATGCAGAGACCCGGAATTTAGATAGTAGCATCAGTGGTGGTGAGGGCAATGACACTGGGCTACCTGTGTTCTATTCACTGTGAGACTTCAGGGTTATCACCTAATCGGCCATCACAGACAGCAACGAGAAGGTTCAACACAGACACTCATGAAGCTCCCAGAAGCACAACTTCTGTGTGAGGCTGAATTTCCTGAAGCCTGGCAAGCAGGGAAGAAAGCCACCAAGACTGTATAAATGAACCTATGTCTGGTGACGCCCTGGATATGCGAGCTACATTTAGGTAGTAGCGGTAACCAGCTATTAAAGACTTTCTGTGGCCTATCACTTCCCAGGTGTTCTTATTTACCAACGCATAAAACTTTAGAAAAAGTTATTCTCATTTTATGGAGGAAATTAAGTTATTTGCCTAAGGTTGCATAGGTAGTAAGAAGTACAGCCATATTTTGAATTTTAATTTGATTGGGAAGCTCATGGTCTTTTCTCTGCACTACTGTCTTCCTCCTTCTTACCCCTCTCACCATCTTTCAGTATTATTGGATATACTCTTCAGTTTAACTTTGACTATTGCAAATCTGTTTCATCAGTTTGAGCTACAGTTCTTTCCACTTTTTTCTCCAAGTGCTGCCCTTTTATGCTGTTCAATAGGCTTTAGAGCATTCTGCCTACCTGGTAGTCACCACTGCTCTTCAATGTATTTTCTATAGCAATCACACTTGCTGCTTTTATCTACTGACTTTGGATTTGCGGGGAGGATCCACAGCTTTGCTACTCAAAGTGTACTTCCTTGTCCAGCAGCATGAGCATTACCTGGAGCTTGTTAGAGATTGAAAAATCACAGTCCCATGCTAGATCTGAGACAGAAACTTCATTTTAAATAAACTCCTCAGATTCTTATGCGCGCTCTACTGATCTGGAGCTTTGTCAGAATCCCTGAAGCCCTCAAATGTTGGGATAGTAGTTCCTGGTCTCTTACAGAGTGGATAGCTACTGACCTGAGCAGATTAGGAACCCTCAAGATCACCAGATGAGACCTCCTTTACCTCCCCAACAATTAAGCCCCCAGTGCTTAATCAGGATATAGGTTTCCATGGCAATAGAGGTGCCATTCCAATGGGAAGAGATTGTGAAAGGTATTTCAACACGAAGAGGGCCTTAACTTATATAAAGGATTGCACTAATTCTGAGGCTTGGCTGGAGTCACCTGGAGGAGATTCTGATACAAATGGTATAGGGGGTTCTGATGTAATTGCTGTACAGGTCCAGTCATAGCTTTCGGAGTGTAGCCTCAAATATTTCAGCAAACGAATGAATGATTAAATAACTCTCAAAAATAGCATCGGAGTGGCTAGAAGAAGGAATCAGTAAGCAGGCTCCCTGAAGTGCTTATTCAGGACCTCGTGGACGTAAAAGATTACATTCATACATATTCAACCAGAACAATATACTTTGCTTCAGTGAACTTGACATATGACAAACAGATAAATCAGGAAGTGATTATTCACTGTTCAGCAAGGCAATCTGATTTATGAAAATGACTTATGAGAGCAGTGTGGTTCCCCAACCAGCAGCAACATCACCTGGTAACCTATTAGAAATGCAAATTTTGACCTGAAGGGTCCTAATCTGAAACACTGGGGCTGGGGCCGGAGAAACTGTGTTTTAGTAAGACTTCTTGGTGATTTTTATGCAACTAGAGTTTGAGAACTGCACTAGAGTTCTTTAAATGAGAACCTTGTCATCTGACAATATAAAGCAAATTCAAGAAAACACTAAGGTGACTTTATCTGCATTTTATGATGGCACCTCCAGAAAGCTACCAGAATATAGAGAATGTATGTTTAGTAAACTATTTTATACATGAATATGTATATTTTATTTATATTCAATATGAATATATAGAATAGGTTAAAAGTGTCACACCATATTGCATATGGTGAGATTTCAGTACTCTTTTATGATTTTTTCAGTAATATACTGAATCACAATGTGAGATACATTTCTTGTTATGAATAATGGTCATAAAGTTTGAAAAAAAGTCTAGGGATGTAGTTAAGGATAGAGCACTTGCTGATCATGCATAAAATCCCAAGTTCAATACCCAGTACTGGAAAGAAAAGAAGAAAAGAAAAAGAAAAAAATATTTTGAAAAGTACAGGTGTATAGTTATTTCTCACCATGTGAACAGGAAACAGCATACAGAAGGTTCTACTCATAAGGGAAAAATCAGTAATCCTTGTTAGGGAAGAACATTCTTTAGATTCTAAAAAGGCTTTTAAAAAAAATTCTGTGGTCCAGTCTCAGGTTGGTTATTGTCTGTTTTTATCCCCTAGAGTGTCTGGGTTTTGGAGAGAGGAGATGTAGATACTTGGCATAATATCAAGACATCTATACTACTAGACTATGAATATGTGTGTAATACTATATGTAACAACTGTTAAAAGTAATTCATTTGGCACTTACCTACAAAGAAATAAATGACTACCCTCCAAATAGGAACAAACATATGCTAGTTATTCAGAGTTTGCTATAGCGAAGGATTCAGCCACCATCACTTGTGTTTGGCAGAGACTCAGAGCTAGGCAGGAAAACGGGGAGGTCTTAGTTATGCTCTGAATGTAGGTTGTTGGCATGGAGAAACCGGAGGCAGACTAACTAAAAGTGGGGCATTCCATGTCTTTGGTTTAGGGAAGATATTTGGCTGGTTGATCCTGATTTGGAAATGAATCACAAGTTTGGGAAATTGATAGTCACTGACCAAAGCCTGATATTTTAGGCCACTTGCTGTAGAGGCGGTTGTTTGGCTTCCTGGACTGGTTGCTGGGATGGTTATGAGGCTCTAGTCTAATCTAGGCAACAATTTAATCTGTGAGGCAAATTTGTCCACTTATTTAATACTTATGGTCTCTTACCAACTTGTCCAGTGAATCAGAAAATTAAAACCAAGTCAATCTGTAGGTTGGTTTTCCCTTCCCTTATCTGATTAGTTGGTGTTGGTGGGCATGGCTTATACCAATATGCTTTTAATGGACAGGAAATGACTGCTGATGTTGAAACTTCTTGGCTGGTTAACAAATAGTTTTAGTGTAGGTCCTTGAAGTCTGTGTCAGTCTGATGTTAGCCATGACAGCTGGGTATCCTGTAGTGGCCACAGCTACTTACTTCTCTAGAATTAGCAGGATATATTTATGTGGTTTACAGTTACTTCTCTGTAAAGTTGTTACCACCGCGAGTAATATTCCTTCTACCCAAGGGGCAAATTCACCCAGTGTTGTGATAAATAAGTAATACACAATACAGTAATTCACAATATTAATACTATACTGTATGTCACAAAAGGTATGTAGGTGGTGGAGAAATACTTGAAATGTATGGAGTCCGAAACTACTCTGTGGAAGTTTCTTTTACTTATCAGATACGTTATAAGCAGAATGTATACCTTGGTTGAGGTTTGTCAAAAAGGAAAATCTCTTTGCAGGAATGTACTCAGTATGCACTATACAAAAAAAATAAAGCCTGGTATTAATTTTTTTCTGGGCTGGGGGTGTACTTTAGCGGTAGAGCTCTTCCTTGTCTAGCATGCACCAAGCCATGCATTAGATCCTCAGACACCCTCCAAAATGTTTTTGGATGAAATCATGCAAGATAGAATTCACCAGAATTTTCCTGTTTGTAGAACACAAACTTACAGCAGTCACCATGTTTGTGAATAAGTATTAACTTTTACACTAAGTCATAATTATAGTTTGAATTTCTTTTTCTTAATAAGGGCCCCACAGTTTTATAAGTGTCAGCGCCAATAATTCTTTGCTTTTCATCAAGATGATTGACTTTTTTCATGAAGTTTAAATCTCTATTGAGAATTTTTTTCTTTGTACTCAAACATATACCTTTGAAATTGTCCATAGTGAACCATTCCATTTATTTATGACCATTCTGCAAGTTAATACTGCTATATGGGAAGATTTCATTAAGTGTTATTTTGTGGTTTATTGTACAAGACCAATCATCATTTTTCATTAAGTCATTTACATTTGTTAGAATCTTAGTCTGTCTGTACCGGTATTCCAGAATTCCTCAGACTCAGTAATTTATGAAGAACAGAGACTTATTTCTTAAAGTTATGCAAGCTAAGTCTAAGATCTAGGTTGGTTGTCTGGTAGGGGGCACAACCTCTGCTTCCAAGATGGTCCCCTGCGGCTGCAATCTCTAGAGGGAAAAACCCTGTGTCTTCACAGGATGGAAAGGCTATAGAGACAAAAACGGAACACTGCATGAAGCCTCTCATTTATAATGGCCTTAATCTCATTCATGAGAGAGGATGCTTGAGGGGCTAAATATCTCTTAAATATCTCCCATTTCTTAATACTATGACATTGGCACTTATGTTTTTGGCACTTGGATTTTGGAGGGCATATATTTGAACCATGGCAGTTGCTAACACATATAAGTGATAAAGTCATAAAGGAATGACTTCAGTTTGTTGATACCTTACTGGGAACAGGAAAGGAATGATACACATAGACTTCATAGAAGTCCAATACATCCATGAAAAGAGATGTCAAAACACAACCTGCTCCCAATGTTGAAGAAAAACCATAGCCCTCAGTTATTCTTTTTAAATTGTTTTATGGTTTCAGAGTTGAGCTGTGTATAAACTATTCTTATATTTCCAACTGAAACCTCTCTTTACATTCTCTCTAAATATGAAATCATGCTTTTGTGATTTAGCACTTTTACCTAGTTAAAGTTCCAATATGTAGGTCATGATTTGAAATTTCAACTGGAATAATATTGTAGAAGATTTTTGTAAGTCCTAAGGTCATGCAAACATTACTTTGTTGTTCTTACTGTTATTATGATGGGGGGAACTTGTCAATGATAAAGACAAATACAGTGGAATTGGTCAATTTGTTTAATAGAAACTTAGTCTCTTAACAGAAGAAAATCCTGATTATGAAACAAGGTAATAAGGGTTTTTATTTAATTTATTACTACATACTTGCAGTGCATGATGATTACATTCATTATGGCAAGTTGGTACATGTACATAACACTTCTTAATTCTTTTTCATCCCATTTCTCCCTGCTCCAAGGGTTTAAAATTGAAGACTTGCTAGGTCTCTTCTTATCTGTTGTATTATTTTGCATGGTTTCAGTTACCATGTCTATGTTGGTCCACCTAGAACATATTATTATTCTTATTTTTTATTTTTTGGTTTTTTTTTTTTGAGACAGGGTCTTACTATGTAGTTTAGCCTGGCCTTGGACTCACCATGTAGCTCAGGATGGCCTTGAACTCAGCAATCCTCCTGCCTCATTCTCCCATGTGCTGGGATTACAGACATCTGCCACCATGCCCAGCCACCTAGAACATATTGAATGAGAAATTCCAGAAATATGTTACTCATAAGCATTAAATATTTTGATGTTCTGAGTAGACTGATGAAATCTCACACCATCCTGCTGCTTTCTTTCCAAAATTATCCCTTTGTCTACTGTATCCACAGTGTATGTACCACCCACCCTTTAGTCACTTAGCAGCCATCTCAGTTATTAGGTCAATTGTCTCTGTATGGCAGTATTTATATTCAAGTAACCCTTATTTTACTTAATAATGGCTCCAAGGGGAAAGAGTAGCGATGCTAGCAGATTGGTTATGCCAAAGAGAAGCTATAAGGTGTTATGTTTAAGCGAAAAAGAAAAAAAGTTTTGAACTTAATATGGAAAGAAAAAATATATATATATTGAGGTTGATAACAAACCTGTGGGACTGTGAAGAAAAACACTAGTGTTAGTTTTGTCATCATATCTCAAATTGCAAAATTTACAGCCACAATGTGTAAGCACTTAAGATGGAAAAAGCATTACATTTATGAGTGTACATATGGGAAATAAAACATAGCATATGTAGGGTTTGGTGATATCTGTGATTGCAAGCATCCACTACAGGTCTTGGAACATATCTCTTACAGGTAAGGAATAGGGGGAAACTGTATAGTAATGTGGGGAAAAGGGAAGAAGAGTGGTCTGATTGCATGTCTTCTTAATAATTTGATTTTGCCCAGTATCTTTGCAGCTAATTCCATTAAGCAGAAAACTGAATGATGCTAATTATAGCTGCACAAATGGTATATATAAATGTAAGTCAATGCCAGTAATACAAGAATGACTTACAGTGAAGGAAAGATTCACTCTAAGGACAAAGCAGTTTAGTAAAAGGAAATTAAAAACTGGCTTTTGACAGCTGAGAGAAAATTATCTAGTAATTAAAGTGAAATCAATTAAAATATTCACTGATGGATACATTTAGAGAGAATACTAAAATACCTTTTAACATGTGTTGTTAAACTAAGGTCAAAATGTGTTTATAGTACTGTTTCCTTCCATATTCATTTACTATGGTATTATTAGATCTTTCATTAAAATGATCTCTTAAAAGACATTGTGTAGGTTAAAAACATTGCTACGAATCAGAAATTGTGATGAAATTGATCAAACGTATGATTTAGATTTGGAGAACATTTTGGTGATCTGGTCTTACAAATGTGATGTTCTAGGATAAAACATTTATATTTTTGAAAATAGAGAATATATGTGTGTGTGTGTGTGTATATATAAATATATATATATATATAGAGAGAGAGAGAGAGAGAGAGTAATGGCTTAAATTATTGTTTCTGATATATGTTTTCTATTTCATAATATAACATTTTATAGTATTTTATAATATAATATATAGTATAACATTTAAATATATATTAATGATAAATCTTCATAATAAAATATCTCAAATAATTTTAGTAATATGTTGTCAAAGTATGATACATATTTTACCATTATAGTGCTTCTCAATTAGAATATATTTTTTTAAAAATTCAGTTTATATTAGCCTTGGATTTAGAAAATCAATGTAACTTGTTATAATTGCTCTTTCATGGTTAAGGTGATTCAAGCCACTCTTCTGCCTGACCCTGCAGCTGTAGTGAAAAGATCACTCCTGCAGAAAGAAGGTCAGAAGGGAAATATTTATCACCAATAATTTACTGCCATAGGTTATAAAACTGATCTATCATCCTTACATGAATGCTAAGTTAAATATAAATGGAGCATTGAAAAAAAATAGTTCAACAGTATTAAAACCTGGAAAGACTTAATAATGGATTCAACATACACAAAAGAACTTCAGGGTCACTCTGCTTCAGTTGGGTCAAGTTTGTGACTAATCTGCTTCTGCCATAGGGCAAATGGTTCATGCTGGGCCTGTGGGCAGTGGCTCATCACAACAGCATGTTGACTTCACAGTCAAATTTTCCTTCGCACTCCAGTTCCACTCCCCCTTAATACAGTCTGTGGAGTCTTGATATAAAAACAAAACCAAAAACAACCCCAAAAGATGTGTTTGTGTGTGTGGGGGCAACTGAGGAGAGATATAGAGCAAATGATTTTCAGAAATTTCCTTTCAAGGTACATAAGTAGAAAATTTTAAGAAAGAATACATGTGCATACAGTAAGTACTAGTTTTGAAGGCAAGGAATAAAAGAGGATGTAGGACCAGATTTCTTCTCTGACAATGGAAGCAGATAGCATGACAGTTGGTTACTAGAATATAAAGTCTTAAAACGAGTCTTTAGTCCGATATTTGGTGTTTGCGCACGATTTTTTCTTTGATCTTCACAACCATCGCGGAATGTGGGTTGGCTGGGCTGTGCTTTCTACCCACAGAGGGTTGATGACAATGCTGACAGACCATGTGGTCTTCGCAAAGTCAGGGCACAAGCCCTGCTCCAGGTCAGTCGTCACAGGCCTCTGAGATCCCATGGCCCAGGTCCTTCTCCGTTCGCAGATTCTAGCCCACAGCCCACAGGGAGAACTCCAGGAGCTCTCAGGAAAATGCCAGGTGGTGAAGGGCTTTGTGGTGTCAGAGTGATCTGGATTTGACCCTTCAGGCCCTCTCTCGCTGTGCATGACCTTGGGCAAGCTCTCAGAACCTCAGGGTCCTCATCGGCAGAACACGAACGCTCTGCTTTATTCCACCGTGTTTACCAACTATTAAATGATGCAAAATAGTAAAAGTCCTAGCCCACCTCTTGGGTCATAGAAAGCGGTATTGAATTAATTGGTGGCTACAAATAATAGCATGCCTGGGACAGACAGGGAACCATCAGCACGGGCTGGCAACTCTCCATCTGCACAATGGGCGCAGAGCGGTTCGCAGTCTTTTAACAGCAGACATCACTCTGCAAGCAAAACTACAACCACCTCCACCCTTCTATTCTGAATGACATTTGTTTAAAAAAAATGTGGGAGGGGAAGGAGCAGATCAGAACCTGGGGAAACATTACCAGGGTAATTTAAAAACGAGAGGGTTGGGGATGGAAGAGGGGAAAGCAAGGAAGTCTTTTTGTGCACCGAACAGCTGGAACTCCAGTCTCACCAGTTCAGCCAGGACGCCTTAGACTCTGCGGAGGCGCAAAACGCTGGGAAAGGAATTAAGGAGGAAGGGGTGGGACCAGGGCTGGGGCTGGGCCAAATCGTGGGCGGGGCCAAGGGCGGGGCCTCTCGGAGTTTCTTTGCTGCGCGCGCCACGTCTCCCTCCCGGAGCTTGTGGGGAACTGTCCGGGGAGGAAGAAACCGAGCGGGGCGGGAACTTTAGCCTATCGCGAGAACTGGCAACGGTCTCGGCGGCGGCGTGTCAGTGAGAGTAGCGTGGGGGCGGGGAGGAGAGGCGGTGGCGGAGGCGGTGACGGTG